CCACCCATCCATCCACCCATCCACCTACCCATCCATCCACCCACCCATCCACCTACCCATCCATCCACCCATCCATCCATTAATCCACCCATCCATCCATAAATCCACCTACCCATCCATCCACCCACCCACCCATCCACCTACCCATCCACCCATCCATTCACGCATCCATCCATCCATCCATAAATCCACCCATCCATCCATAAATCCACCCATCCATCCATCCACCCACCCACCCACCCATCCACCCATCCATCCACCCACCCATCCACCCATCTATCCATAAATCCACCCATCCATCCATCCACCCACCCATCCACCCATCCATCCACCCACCCATCCACCCATCTATCCATAAATCCACCCACCCATCCATCTATCTACCCATCCACCTACCCACCCACCCACCCATCCACCCATCCATTCATCGGGTCATCTCTTCACAGCACCGGGCACTGTGCTGGAGGGAATATCGGAAGCCAGGAGGGCATCCTTGGGCCTTGAGAAGCTCTGGCATAGCACCAGGGAATGAGGCAAGGCCTGGGCCCAGTGCAGTGATCCCAAGGCAGGTTCAAGGTTACAGCCAAGGCAGCGTGCAGCTCTGGTGCCTAGGAATTCAGAGTCTAGATTGGCCCCACAGTCTCTGAGGAAGATGCCGAGCTGTGGCATTGGGAGGAGACCCTGATGGACGGGCGTGAATGCCACGACAAGCAGAGACGGAAATGGCAAGGACTGTTAAAGGCTCTTGTTTACAAATTAAAAGTCAAGGTATTTTAATTGTTCACTTTAAAATGGCTTTTACCTTATGTGATTTTTGCTTTAATTTAAAAAATCTACACGAGATAGGTATGTGTATGTGTATATATATACATTTTGATTTATTGTTGAGCTAGGTAACAGTGCTCATGGTTCAAAATCCAGAGGTAGAAAGTAAAAACTCTTTATTTAAAAATTTTATTTTTTCAGGTACAGTTTGCCTTTAATGTTATTTTTATTATTTTTATTTTGTTTTGTTATTTTTTCCCAAGAACACAGGTAAAAGATTATGTAGCAGGGTAGGCAAGGCCAGCTACATAATTTGCAAGATCCAGAGCAAAATGAAGATGTGGGGTCCTGCCGAAGCCGGTTTGGCTCAGTGGTAGAGCATCGGTCTGCAGACTGAAAGGTCCCAGGTTCGATTCCGGTCAAGGGCATGTACCTTGGTTGCGGGCACATCCCCGGTAGGGGGTGTGCAGGAGGCAGCTGGTCAATGTTTCTCTCTCATCGACGTTTCTAGCTCTCTATCCCTCTCCCTTTCTCTCTGTAAAAAAAAATCAATAAAATATATATATATATATATATATATATATATATATATATATATATAAAAGATGTGGGGTCCTGGCCCATGGCAAGGGAGTCACTGCCCTCCCCACAGGGTCTTGGCGGCCCCCAGGGGATGGCGCCTGTGTGCCCGGCCACACCAGGGCATCGGGACGGAGTGGGTGAGAGGCCCTGACCAGACACTAGGACAGGGATGGCTACTCATCTCACCCACAGACACAGGAATGAGTTGGGGGGCTGCACCCAGGCACTCAAGGGGGTGAGGGGTGGATGGTGACAGTGGAACAAGAGAGTCCACCCTTGTCCCTCCTGGGCAACGAGGCCTCGCTGCTCTGCGCCCCCAAAGGTTGGCAGCTGAGACTTAGATTGGGTGGGGAGGGCCAGGGTGCCAGGGCATGGTGGGCACCCAGAGGGGGTGGGGAAAGGATGGGAGCTGGCACTTTGCAGGAGTTGAGGCTACAAAATGCCAGGCTGCCTCCATTGTCTCATCCCACTTCACTCCAAAACCACGGATTAGAGATACAGCGATTCCGAATCTCAAGGCTGCGAGCGCAGAGCATGAGATGCCAAGCCCTTCTAAGTGTGGGCCTGCACCAGTGCATGTCCAACAAGCCCGCCCGGCCACCGGGACCGCGCTGACATACCGACTCTGGTGGGAGATCACGGAAAATCCAAGTTATTTGAAAAGTAAGGAAGTAAAAATTTGCTCAGAACATCAGCCCTGCCCTAACAGGTTTGGCTCAGTGGATAGAGCACCAGCCTTAGGACTGAAGGGTCCCAGGTTCGATTCCAGTCAGGGGCATGTACTTTGGTTGCGGGCACATATCCGGTGTGCAGGAGGCAGCTGATCGATGTTTCTCTCTCATTGATGTTTCTGACTCTCTATCTTTCTCCCTTCCTCTCTGTAAAAAAATCAATAAAATATATTTTTTAAAAAAAGAAAAAAAAAATGTCAGTTCTGGTTGGGCGGCTCGGTTGTGGGAGCGTCGTCCGTACACCAAAAGGTGGTGGGTTTGGTTCCTGGCCAGGGCGTACACCTCGGTTGCAGTGCCCTGGGCGGGGCTTCCACTTCACTGTGAAAAGTGAAAAACTGTTGTGAAATATAAGGGGTGTTCTCGGTCCTGACAAAGACCTTCATTCTTCAGCGCCTCCTGAAGGAGAGTCTTTCTTTACGAAGCTTGGCTTGGCCTCCCCCGGTCGAATGGACACTCTTTCACGGTGCTCTGTCCTAGTGTGTGTCATTATAACATTAAGAACATGGGCTCTAGCTAAAACCAGTTTGTCTTAGTGGATAGAGTGTCCGTCTGCCGACTCAAGGGTCCCAGGTTCGATTCCTGTCAGGGGCATGTACCTTGGTTGCGGGCACATCCCCAGTGGGGGGTGTGCAAGAGGCAGCTGATCGATGTTTCTAACTCTCTATTCCTCTCTTCCTCTCTGTACAAAATCAATAAAATATATTAAAAAAAAAAAAGGAACCCACAAGAACACCCCAGGGAGCTCAAAGAGAGGGAGAGAGGGACACACATACACACATGTTTGTTTTCTATTATTTATGTATTCACTTAAGGCCCAATGCACGAAATTTGTGCAAGAGGAGGCCTTCCTTCCCCGGCTGCTGGCACTGGCTTCCCTCTGGCACCTGGGACCCAGGTCTCCCTTGCAGCCCGGCTTCATTAGGAAGGTTGGCCGAAGGATGTCCAGTCTAATTAGCATATTATACTTTTATTATTATAGATAAGTTGATTCTGGTATCAGCTCTGACAAGGGATTGAACTTGCAACCTTTACGTATCAGGAGAACTCTAATCAACTGAGCTACCCAGTTAGGGCCATAAGCTCTTTTCAATAAAGTAATAAACTCCAGCTGCTTGATCTTGTACTGGATTCAGTGCTCGTTTCTATGAGATTGAAACTCAAGATGTGGCATTCAAGGTCTGGGAACAAGGCTATAGGACTTGTCCTAAAACTATGTTTGCAAAAGCAAGTGCATTCATTATCTGTTAGAGTTTGTGTTTATTCAGAGTTGCTTGGAAGAGTGTGGGTGAGGAGCATTCATGGTAATGAAGAAGGCAAGAGCATTAGTTCTTGACCTAGAAAAAATTAACTGCAAATATTTATTAGCGTTTTCCACTAGACTGAATTAAATTCTAGTGGAAAACACTAATAAATATTTGCAATTAGTTTTTTCTATGTCAAGGGCTAATTGGTTTTTAGAGAGTGGGAGTGAGGGGGAAAGACAGAGAAACATCCATCTCACATCCATTGGTTGCCTCCTGCATGTGGATTGAGCCTGCAACTGAGGTGTGTGCCCTTGGCCGGAATTGGACGTGGGACCACTCAGTCTCTGGGCCCACAGTCTATCCACTGAGCCAAACCAGGTAGTCAGGGCTAGACGGAATTCCTTGAAAGCTGTGCCCTGTATTTATTCATCTGAGCCTAACAGTGCGTGGCGCCAAATATGTTATTTCAATGAACTTTCTTTGCAATCTTCACTAAAAATGAGGGTTTTATCGGTAACTTGGGAGAGTGGTTAAGAGAAGTCTCTTACAGTCTTTGAATATTGTCAAAAACACAAAGAAACAAAAAAATTTTGGAAAATGAGATCGAAAAGGCCTTTTATAATCAGACGTTAAATCTATTCCCAAGTGCCTGTTAACTCTTGGTTTATCTCATTTTTTTTTCAACATTTAAAATAAACCTGAAGCTGTTAATGTGGATTTGGAACTCACAGGCAGAGATCTGACATCCTATACTTCTGCAAAGTTTTTTTTTTTAAGTTTTTATTTATTTTATTTTATTATTATTTTTAAAGTATATATATTTATTGATTTTTTTTACAGAGAGGAAGAGAGAGGGATAGAGAGTTAGAAACATCGACGAGAGAGAGAGACATTGATCAGCTGCTTCTTGCACACTCCCTACTGGGGATGTGCCCTTGACTGAAATCGAACTCGGGACCCTTCAGTCCCCAGGCCGACGCTCTATCCACTGAGCCACACCAGTTTCGGCACTTCTGGGAAGATTTCTTTCTTTTTTAAATTTTTTATTCTTTATTGATTTCAGAGAGGAAGAGAGAGGGGTAGAGAGAGAGAAAAATCAATGATGAGAATTATTGAGCAGCTGCCTTCTGCACGCCCCCTATTGGGGATGGAGCCCACAACCCGGGACCGCAGGCCGAGGCTCTAGCCACTGAGCCAAACCAGCCAGGAGGCTGGAAAGTTTCGTTTCCAAGCAACAAGACAACTGCTGTGAAGCTGCTGCGAGTTTAGTCCCCGCCGGACCATTGGACGACGGCGACATGCTTACTATCCAATCGCCGACGAGCTCCGAGAGAAAGCCCTCTGGATTGGTCAGAGGAAACATCTCTCCAGGTGCATTCAAACAGGGGCATGGGGTGGGCCGAGAGCGTTTCTGGCCAATCAGAGAAGCAGGGGGGCGGGCTTTCCCGCTGGGGAGGGTGAAACAGCCAATCTCAGATGGCGAATCCCCGCCAGTTAGCCGAGGGGGGGCGTGGCCACGGGAGGCTCCCCGCCGGCGGGGCGTGGGCGGGGCGCGGCGCCGGATGCGGGCGGCGCCGGGCCTCGCGGCCTGGGAGGGGCGGAGCCGCCTGAGCCGGTGGCCGCCGCTCGGGAGCCGAGCCGCCGCCCGTGCCCGCGCGTCGCGGCCGCAGGCGCGGGGATGCTGGGCAAGGGCGTCGGCGGCGGGGGCGGCGGCTCCCGGGCGCCCAAGCCCTCCTTCGTGTCGTACGTGCGCCCCGAGGTGAGCGGCGCGGCCGGCGGGCGGGTCTGGGGGGCCGGCCGGGAGGGGCCGGGGCGGGGGGCCGGGCGCCGGGGCGGGGGGCCGGGCGCCGGGGTGGGGCCGGGCGCCGGGGTGGGGGGCCGGGCGCCCGGGCACGTCGGGGAGCAGCTGGGCCCGCGGGGCCTGCCCGCCCCGGTTTCCCGCGTCCTCGCCGCTTCCCAGTCCCCCTCCCCAGCCTCCCCTCCGCGCCCTCCCCTCCGCCCCCAACCTCACCCGCTCCGCACCCCACCTTCCCCCCGCGGCTGTCCTGCCTGAGTGCTCCTGCCAAGCCCGTCCATTCACTCATTCACTTACTCATTCACTGATTCATTCACTCACTCATTCACTCATTCACTCACTTATTCACTCATTCACTCATTCACTGATTCATTTTCATTCGTTCACTGATTCATTCACTCATTCATTCACTCACTCATTCATTCACAACATGTTTCTTGAGCTCCTGCCCTGTGCCGGGCCCTGTCCTAGGCGGTCGGGACCTGCATCCGTGGACAGAAGGGGCATCTGGGCGTCGGAGAGAGGAGCGAGCGGCGGGCAGGACAGCGGGAGTCCCGTGGAGTGTCCGCAGGCCGCCAGGGTCTGGGGGAGAGCGCCCCCTTTTCCCTCCTTGCAGAGGCCTGAAGGGTGCTTGGGTGGGAGGACAGGCCTGGGTGTGTGTGTGTGTGGGGGAGCACCCAGGGAAACCACCTGGTGTGAGAGGGGCCTGGCGAGGGGACAGCTTGTGGGTGCTGAGGGCCTCTGGAGCAGGAGCTGGCCGGCCCTTCTGGATTCCAGAAGTCTGGTGTCTTCTGCCCGCCTCCTGGGCACTGCCATCAGCACCCCGGGCACTGTCATTGGCAGCCCAGGCACTGCCATCAGCCTGGGCACTGCCATCAGCAGCCCGGGCACTGCCATAGGCAGCTCGGGCACTGCCATCAGCAGCCGGGGCACTGCCATCAGCCTGGGCACTGCCATCGGCAGCCTGGGCACTGCCATCAGCAGCCGGGGCACTGCCATCAGCCTGGGCACTGCCATCGGCAGCCGGGGCACTGCCATCAGCCTGGGCACTGCCATCGGCAGCTCGGGCACTGCCATCAGCCTGGGCACTGCCATCGGCAGCTCGGGCACTGCCATCAGCCGGGGCACTGCCATCGGCAGCCGGGGCACTGCCATCGGCAGCCGGGGCACTGCCATCAGCAGCCCGGGCACTGCCATCAGCCTGGGCACTGCCATCGGCAGCCCGGGCACTGCCATAGGCAGCTCGGGCACTGCCATCAGCCCGGGCACTGCCATCAGCCTGGGCACTGCCATCGGCAGCCCGCAGAGGCTCTGCCGCTCTGCCTTCGGCCCTCCCGCCTCTGCAGCAGGGCCAGGGCCGGGGGCTGTGAGGCCCAGCCTGAGGCCGGTGGGTCGCTGTCTTCAGTGACAAGACGTGTGGTGTCTCCGGGGGAGCCAGCGCCGGCTCTGGGTCTGATGGTTAGACCTAATTTTAAAAATAAAGCGCAAACCACTTCCTCTTCCTCTGTAAGTGCCTGATAAGGAGTCCGGGTCACTTTGAATTTCCAGCTGGCTTCCCTTGTTGTGTCCTGGGCAACCCTGAGTCCGTTGTCTGTCTGACTGTCTCTCTCTCTCTCTCTCTCTCTCTCTCTCTCTCTCTCGGCAGCTTTTTATTTTTTTATTGCGCCCTGGTTGAAGTACAACTGCTCTTTAACCTTCCCTTGTAAGCGAGGTTAAACTGCAAGTGGAAACTCCTTGAAATGTGGCCAGAGTTCAGGAACGCTCGGATTTTTCACCGCCAAGTGCACATGTTGTAATGAGGCGTGTTTTCCCTCTGCCGCAGCGCCGGTTCCGTTTCTCCCGAGGGTGGCCAGGCAGGGAGCCTGCAGTGACCAGATCCCTACAGCTGGCAGTTTTTTTCAGATCCTTATGGCTGGCAGTTTTGTTCTCTTGCAAGAAAAAAGTGCTGTGTAGACTCGACCCTTTTTTGGTTGTAAGCGGTCTCCAAAAATGTTTTGTGACAGAGGGTAAGGCTCTGATTAAATTGTGGGTGGTTTTTAAGAGACGGTTGGTTGGGAGTATGTGTGCCGCTCTGCCAGATGTCACCTGGAGATGGGGAGCGCAGCCGGGAGGCCCAGCCTGCGCGTCGGAGGGCGCTGGGCTGGTGGCGTGCTCTGGCTCTCGGCGGGGAGCTCCTCATGCTTCTCTGAGGACGGGCATCCTGCCGTTTCTCCTTTCCTTGGGTTGCCTTCACCTTGCTGCCTGTGAAGTCTGGCTGCCTAGCCCCCTGGTCGGCAAACTGCGGCTCGCTGACTAAAGAGTTTGCCGACCACTGCTGTAAGGCATCACCCTGACCCGGGAGTTTTGACTTCAGGTTAAAGACACAGTACATGATCAAAATGTGTTTCCCGAAGGCAGTGGTCGGCAAACAGCGGCTTGCGAACTGCATGTGGCTCTGGAGCCGCAGTTGGCTGACCACTGTCCTAGCCCTTCTTCGGATGCCCGTCCCTTTTGTTGGCGGGAGATCCTGGGTTTGCGGGTCGGCCTGAGCTGCCAGGACAGCCTGCGCGCCTCCTGATACCATGGTATCTGTGCCAGGTGATGAGCTTGGTCCTGGCCCATCAGGCCTGCGGGCATTCAGCGGCGGCTGCTTTTGCTCTGCCAAGCAATCTATTATATGAGGAGTCAGCACTTCCTGTTAAAGGCAGAAGTGTGTAACTGGATAATGTATTTGACGATGACGCTTTTCAACATCGTGGCTTATTTTTTATTCTTATCAGAAGGATTGGCCCAGCCGGCCTGGCTCATGGTTGAGTGTTGACCTATGAACCAGGAGGTCACAGTTCGATTCCAGGCCAAGGCTCGATGCCATCCCCAGGAGGCAGCCGATCAATAATTCTCATCATTGATGTTTCTACCTCTCTCTCCCCCTTCCCTTCTCTCTGAAATAATAAAAACATATTTTAAGAAAAAAAAAAAAAAAAAAAAGGAAAGGCTTGGCATTGGCCAGCTTAACATGAGGGGTGGAGAATAGCTCCAGTTTATAAAACTGGATTTCTGCCAGAATAACTGTGTTCTTCTGTTATTGATCTCTTAACCGATGACGGTGAAAGTTAAAATCCTGAACTGTCACTGAGGACCTTTGGTCAGTTTGTGAGCTCTGCCCAGAGGTTACAGTCGGTGAAGCTTGTGAGGGGAATGGAGGTGAGCAGGAAGGAGGGTCTGGGCCTGCTTGGTGGTACTTGACGGCTGGTACCATATCTCCGCGCCCCAACCCCAGCTTAGCCCCAGGTACATTGTGCAAAGGATGCATTCCCAACCCTGTGGGGAACCCCTGAGCTGTGCCAATTCTTGTTACATAAAAGGTTTGAATTATTTCAGGAGGTATAAGTGTTCATTGTAGACAAATAAGAAAATTGTTTGGCTGGCGAGGCTCAGTGATTGGACATCGACCTATGAACTAGGAGGTCACAGTTCGATTCCTGGTCAGGGTATGTGCCGGGGTTTGCAGGCTTGATACCCAGTGTGGGGCGTGCAGGAGGCAGCTGATCAGTTATTCTCTCTCATCATTGATGTTTCTGTCTCTCCCTCTCTTTTCCTCTCTGAAATCAATAACAGTATATTTTTACAAAACAATAAGAAAATATAGATATGCAAACATTTTACAGAAAAGTTATAAGTTTATTGACAACTTGGAGTGTATCCTATGGGTGAGTGTAGGTGTATCCATATATATATATATTTATCAAAATAGGATTGATATTGTTGATTATATTACTTGGTAATCTGCCTTTTTCGCCAGAAATGTACCATATAGTGTAAATGTCTTTCCATGTCATTTGTTAACCTCATTTTGATTTGACCCCTTTTTCTCAACAGAGACATACGGTGGGTGTCTTGGGGAGATAGATGTTAAGTAGGCAGCACAAAGAACCAATAACGTGATATGGTAATGAGATTGTGAAGTGTTTTTCCACTTAGCCATCTTCTCTGGTGATGAGTGACAGGTCTGATTCTTCAAAGCTGTCAGCTTTCTGCTCAGTTAGCTTGAAATTGTTAACACTGGTTTGGTAATTTCTAGTGATTAGAAATGCTTGCCTGGCCGGTGTTGCTGGTTGAGTTTTGACCTATGAACCAGGAGGTCACAGTTCAGATCCCCGTCGGGGCACATGCCCAGGTTGCAGGCTCAATCCCAGTGGCGGCGTGCAGGAGGCAGCTGGTCAGTGATTCTCATCATTGATGTTTCTCTTTCTCTCTCCCGCTCCCTTCCTCTCTGAAATTAATTTAAAAAATTTAAAAAACATATATGTAATTAAAAAAAAAGAAAAAAAAGAAATCTAGTGTCTGTAACCAGAAGCTTAAGCGGTCCTAAGAGAAAGTTGTGATTCAGTAATAGTCCGTTCCATTGTGATAAGGAAGTTGAATGGGAACTTCGGGGACTTGTGTGTTTAGAGCTTGCTGCACTTTGCCCGTATTTGTGCAATATTGCAGATACAGTCACAGTGCACTTTCCAGGAGAATGTGGGTCAGTGTTTGACTTGAATGCACTAATAGTAACAGTTTTCAACGTCTTCCTTGTGGAGATTGAGATTGGAAGGAATTTGAAGGTCATCCAGTCGATGCTGTGTCCTCTGTGACCAGATGTGGAAGCGAGGCCCGGGGTTCATGTCCTCCCTTCGGCCAGGCCATTGCAGGGCAGCCTGGGAACTGCCCCGGGCGCCGCAGGCAGGGGCGCGGGGAGAAAAGGCAGGAAGAGAGGAAGACGGGGAAGGGTCAGAACAAGAATCCAGACTTTAAGAGCTGACTTTTTTTTTTTTTTCTCATTTGTCCCTTTTAGGGAAAAGAACCCGTTTCATTGCTTGTCCTCACTTAAGGTTATTTCTTCGGTGGGGAGAGGTAAACCTGCGTCCTGTATCTTCCCGGAGACGGGGCTGTGGGTGTATATCAAAACTAAAAAGCCTAATGATTACTGATGGGTGTTAGGT